AGAATACTTGTTACTGAAACAAGGGTCAGATTAGAGTAACGCATTACTGATATGTTGATGGCATAAATAGTTTGACATTTCTGCTTAAGATATTTACTGATCTGTCAGGTTTCCAATATGCGTCCCCCCCAATGACAGACTTGTTCCTACGCCCTTGCTGAGTGAAACACCAGCAGAAATGATCAAACCAACTAAAACACAAAACAATAACCTCATCATTCACGTTAAATCATGTCCAGCCATGACAACATTCAGAACAAACAACATCTCTGAACTTTTCCTTTAGTCATTTTTAATTAACACATTTAGTCAGAATGACATCACAGCATGGGGTCGTAACCTCTTCATGCTCACATCTATAATTAGAATGAAGTTCACACAGAACTTTATAATTAGTAAACTATCATGTAAACTGTCCCTGTTTACATGATAAACTTCATGTAAACAGGAAGCAGCTCAGACATAAATATCCCGTCTGATGCCAGATGGTAGCGTTAGCTCACTCCCCTCTGCAGTCTTATTATTATTTTAAAGAATCTTTGGACCTGCTTCAAGTCTCACATTCTAACATTTAAACTCATATAAACAGAGTCTGAATTAAATCTTCATTTTCTCTCTTCAGAAGAGAAAAAGGTTTCGGGGCGGAGAACGGAGGAGTCCGGTGAAGGTTCTGGATGACAGGTGGAGCTGCAGCTGCAGGCCGACCAGCACTTGGCCTCCGAGTTCCTTTCTAAGCTGTTCTTACTCTTCCACTCAGCGGGTCGCTTCAGAACCAGCTTCAGAACCAGACCGTTCCCATTAGGAGGAAGATTCAACCTGCAGCGTCTTTACTGGCTGGAAATACGAGGATCTAAAAAGGATGCTCTGGGTCGGCTTCTCATCTCCAATCTGCTCAGATTTACTGGATATTAACGGCAGATTTCCTAATTAATGTGCATAATGAGAACAGAAAAGATCAATCTGGATCCAGACAAGGTTCTGGACCCAGAATCCCGGTGATGAAGAGCTTGCAGTGACTCTGGAGCATCACAGCGTTTAATGAACAGCGAAGCTTCGCTTGGTGAGCAGATCTTCTGTAATGGGTCAGGATGGCCTGCAGCTACAAGTCAAAGCTTTCAGAACCTTTATTATTTAATATGAAGCTCCAGTTAATCTCATATAAAAAACATTCAACATTTTGAAGCGCTTTCAGGAGAACAAGTTGAATAAAGTCTCCAATAATCCTGCCAAAATGTCAATAAATAAAGTCAAAGTAAAAAGGATCGAAATAACAAATGTAAATATGAAGAGTTTGGGGGAGCAGTGTTGGAGGCAGAATGGAGTGAAAGAGGAAAAGAAGCCAAACAAAGAGAGGAGGAGGAAGCAGGAGGCCTGCCAGGAGTCTGGGCTCTCGGCTCTTTCTTATCAGTTTGCACAGAAATGTCAGAGCGCTGTGACATTCCTCCCTACAGCTTCCCCTGCTGCCCAGCCACCACTCACCACACTGTAACACACACCGCGCTGCTGCAGAGAACACACACACCAGCGCAATGCATGACAAGGAGCTTCATTTATTTACTCTCAGGTTTTATTCAATCCAAGTTTTCAGAAAGAAAAGAACCATTAAAGAAAAGCAACTCTGCAAGACTGCAGGGAAACAGAAGGAGGAAACGTTTCTAAAATCAAGTTTTACCAAGAAAATATTCTGAAGACCAAAGATGATCATTTCCAGACGTTTTTGTCAGGATTTAAGTTCGTCTGTCTCTGATTTTCATACAACTTCAGTTAAAACTTATTTTAATTCTTTCAAGTTTAAAAGGAGGTTTTGACAGATTTAACATATTAAATGAGTTTTCACTCACTGGTGCTGAATCTGCAGAGGTTCACTTTCCACAAAGAGCAAATATCTGCAGTCAGATCATCCAGGCCTTCAGAAGGTCAAAGAAATGACAGATTTTCATGACAACGTTTGTAATTTCAGATTTTTAGATGATTGAGTTCATTCTGTCTGTTCCAGTGAAATACAAACTCAGTGTTCACAAATGCTGCAGCAGCTCGTTTTCCCAATTATTAATGAAATCAATTTTCTTTCAAAATGGCCCTAAAAGCAACAGATACATATGAATATATGTATTAAAAACTTTTGACGCTCTGATCAGGTTTGTTGCTGCCGATTCCGATACCAATCATCTATGAGGCTGATCACTGATCACTAGATTGGCTGTTAGTTTTCCCTTTAGGCATAAATGATTCTATGTTATCTGGCAAAATGGAAAAATTATCTGTCAATAAATTCACCTAATTTAAACATTTTAATACACATGTAAAATCTTTTTGTTGTTGTTTTCAGCTCCTGCTGCAGCTGCTCGCTGTGAGAGCTCACCGTCTGGAGGCTGAGCCCGTCTGGGAAATATTACCACCAGTAGCGACGGTCCGACAGCAGAACCAGAACCAGAACCGGCGTCTCACTCCGCAGCTCCAAGACTTGAATTATTGTTGGGGATATTTGTTTAGCTTTCTGACCGTGATGCTAATCCGGTGAGTGTTGGTAGCCGCGCTGCTCTACCTGCTGATGGGTCCGGATGTCTTTTGTTCCTGCACTGATGCAGCCAAATCAATCAAGTTCTTGTTTTTAATATCATATTAGATTCGTGGTGTTGGTGCGTTGTGTCGTGCTTCACCCTGAGGTAATTCTGCACCGCAACACACAAACGTCCCCAATCAGTTAAAGTTCCTCACTACAGGAGAGCAGCTGCAGGCTGAGAAGGGAGATGCAGGTGATCGGTTTGTGATCGGCAACAAGAGACAGCGATCGATCACCAATCACCGATCGATCGGTGGCAGATCGATCGGCTCACCTCTGCCAAGCACAGAAATAGTTCAGAGATTTAGACATTTTATATAAAAACATCTCAGAAAAGTTTCTGTCAACTTGAACAAATCCAAATAAATGAAGCATAAAATGCAACAAAAAAAGAAACATTGATCACAAGGGCAGAACCAGAGACTGGGTCAGAACCTCATGAAAAACATTCATTTCTAAAACTTTCTGCTGAATAGAACATAATGGACTTACTGTCTTGGACCCAAACAGACAATAAATACTCATTAATACATAAAAACAGCTAAATAATTACAGATTATTCTAAATAAATGGAAAACGTGGTTAGTCTTCATGATGTCCAGAGCAGCTGTGATTTAATTGGCAGAAAACTAATCAGAATGTCAGGAAAACATGAATTTTATGGGATAAACTTGCCTGGAACAACATGCTGCATTCTGACTGAATGAAGTTTAGTTTGTCTTCCACTTTGACCTGATCTTCATCTCCAGTTTAATGTGAATTTATGATGCTACTAGCTTGGAGCTAACCTGTGTTTTCTGCTGATTATTAACGTTAATAAATGTTTTTGGTGGTAAAGATGTTCAGAGGAAAAACAGGAAGAAGCATTATGGAGCCTGTGGTTTTTATCTTATCTCTTTATTTTACAGTCCTGCATGCAGCAGAAGGATCTCTACAGAAATTATAAGAGCAATGAATTGAAAACCCAAAGGGCATTTTTGAAGTGAATCAAGATAATTGTTTTCTAGGTGAACAATAGGTGCTGGCAGTGAAAAGCAATTGATTTCTTCTAATTTAATCCTCAGCTCCATGTAGTGTAACTATGACAGTTGGAAGCACAGTATGAGCGAGAAGAATAGTTTTCAGCAGGCGGCGAGATAAATCACCACCGTCTCTCCTCTGAAGGCGGCGCGGTTTGGAGTCGATCAGGAGTGAAAAAATCTCCTCTAAAGAGACCAATTTTCATGTCAAGTCAAATGAAACATAAAGACTTGAGCATGAACAGGATATCATTCAGCAGCCAAACATCCCCTGGCTCTGCAGTGGAGCCGGGTCGCATGAGCAGAAACTCCCCCACACAGCATCATGTTAAACACGGGAAGCATTGTGAGCTGGATAAATCTCCCATGCTCAGCGAAGAAAGGAACCAAATTATCATTTTCACAGCTTTAAAGAACACACACAATCATGCAACCGCAGCAGCCGAAAGAGGCTCCAGTTTCCCTGATTTATTCTACATTTAAAACAGAAAAAGGTTCAGAAAAAATCTAAAGCTAAACCAGTTCAGAAAAACGGCTAAAAACACACAACAGGTTAATAAAGGCAACTAGATGTCAGACAAAAACTCCATCATCTGCTCCACCTCCAGCTGCTCTGAGTCAAACCAACCTGTTCCCCTCCTGGCCTGTGGGGGCACTGCACCAAGATCCACTGAAGGAAACGACACAAAAACCCCTGAAGACACTGAGAGCAACTTCCTTCTTCACCAGATGGAAACAAGATGGAGGATTTTAGCGGTTTGAGGATTTCTGTTTAGGCTAAAGACCAGGAGCCATTTCTGCTGCTAGCGCTAGGCTAACACGTTAGCTTTGGTTGTATTTACCCAGAATGCCCTGCACTGTAGTCCACTTCCTGCTGTTGGAAAGGTCTGCGGTCTGCTTGGTGTTCACATTCAAACCGAACCCAGACTGAGGTTTGGAGGACCAGAGGACCAGAGGTTAGAGGTCAGAGGTCGATTAGCATTCAAATCTCACCAACCAAACCGGACTCTCTGAGCAGACGGACTGGAGTCGGATTGAAAGGGACTGAAAGTCCAGGAAGGTAGGTGAACAAATATGATTGTCCTCAAATCAGTCAGAAAAAAATCCATGAAGGACAGGAGCAAACGTCTCCTGGATCAACCCAAAAGGTTCTGAGCTCGTTATTCTACCCAGTTTATGGTTCTGATCAGAGGTGGAACCAGTCCAGCTCAGTTGGATCTGTAGAAACACTAATCAGCATCGGTTCATGGCTATTTCTATAGAACATAACTCCGAATTATTTATGGAGGATTTGCAGATTTATTTCATAGAGCAGATCTATAAAGAAGATTCAGCTCTGGAACAACTCGGGTCCAGCAGACCTGAATGAAACATGGCTGCCCAGTAAAACCAGTAAAACCCCGGAGTGTGTGACCGACCTGTGGGCGATCCCTCCAGCACCTCTCCTGTGTAGAGGGACTCCTTGAAGATGGGCCGGTTGTCGTTTTGGTCGATGACGGTGACGACCAGTATGACGGGTCCCTCCAGGACGTTCCCAGAGGAGTCTGTGGTGGAAACCTCCAGCTGTGAGGAAGAAAACAGCAACAGATTTTATTCCCTTGTAAAAACATGTTTTTACTGGAGCTACTGCATGTTCCCCAGCGCGTCCCACCAGTCGTCCCACTGAGTCTCCAATAAAAGTTTGACCGTCTATACAGAGCCTGACCTTCAGGTTCCAGCGGCTTCCTGAGTCAGTGACGGCTGCCTGAGGGAGCAAATACCGACAGGAACATCAAACACAGCTGCATTTGTTCTGTCTGTGCTGCCAGAGGCTGGTGGCAGCTGGAACAACAACCGGATTACAAATCTCTACCAATCAGGCTCCACATTTACAGACGGCGCTTGGTAAAAGGCCAGACATTAAACTAAATGACCTGGGAAGCAACTGCTGGTTTCCTGGTGTCGGCTTAGAGAGATGCCACTAAGCTGTGCTGGGTGGACCCGGTTGGACCCGGTGGGCCCGGTTGGACCCGGTGGTCCCAGTTGGCCCTGTGGACCCAGTTGGCCCTGTGGACCCGTTGAACCGGTGGACCCGTTGAACCGGTGGACCCGGTTGGCCCGTTGGACCCAGTTGAACCGGTGGACCCAGTTGACCCGTTGAACCGGTGGACCCGGTTGGCCCAGTGGACCCAGTTGGCCCTGTGGACCCGTTGAACCGGTGGACCCGTTGAACCGGTGGACCCGGTTGGCCCGTTGGACCCAGTTGAACCGGTGGACCCAGTTGACCCGTTGAACCGGTGGACCCGGTTGGCCCAGTGGACCCAGTTGGCCCCGTGGACCCG